GCGCGGTAGTAAGTAAAGTGCGTGAATCGTTCGTTGTAAATTATAGCGTGTGTTTAAGTTAAGGTGACTGTGGAAATTAAGTGTATTGCAAAGTTGAACTGAGAAAGAATAAACTAGTTTTATTTAAGAAAGGACTTGTGTCGCTAAAGTTTCATCCGAAATAAAGTATACGGGAAATTAACTAACGACCAGAGACGTAACAATACATAAATTTATTTAGGTTACTGTATGGTGAAGTAAAACGTACTCTAGTACGATATGTATATTTTTTACCTGTGGTGTTTAAACGTGCATAGTTATAATAAAGTTTACTAAAACATTAACATGGTGGTAAAAGTCTTGAGAAACCACTTTAATTTTGTAGTTGAATGAATAAAACCTTATTTTCGACTCTCATTGAATTAACAAATCCATGACTACCACTAGAGAGCGCTAATTAATTTACCAAAGAGCTACTCTATTAATTCGTATGGTTTACAATAAGATACATGCATTCAACTTTACTGTTCAAATAAATAACTAGTTTGATGTTAAAACAAATCAGTCTAATTCTGTCGTGTAATAATTTAAATAAACTCGATAAAAAGTACAGTTGTTTATAAATAGCGTCTCGACCACTACTAAATATCATATTTCAACTGATATAGCAGACATTGAGTTTCACATATTAGATTCTTCATTTTCGCTCATAAGTTATAATTCACGAATTAAAAATAAACCTTCAATGGAAATTACAAGCGTAATGTTTCGAAAAAGTGAAAATTACATAATTTTTATAAAGTTCTTTTAACTCACTATTTAGTAACCAAAATTAATTTAGGTATGTAAATAATATTGTGGCTTTGCGGTATTATACAGTAGACCAACTGTATGACGAACCACTTTGTATGAAGCCACTACTTAACAAAATATATTTTCAACCTTACCTTTAGTGAAAATTAATCTGTAATTACACTTACTAAAACATTTTTAAATTCGTAATATCAAAGCAACCTGTATATACTTTATATACGTATTTTTCATCACTGACGGCTACAGAGATAAAAATATTTAACTCCACCAATAAATCAAAATTGTGCTATTTCTGACTGTTGCACTTAACCCTTTAGATTGCTTATCTGTCACTAATACATAATACATGTAGTTCTTAAACTGGTTACATGTAACCCTAAATTATATATATATATATATATATATATACACATACACACACACACACACGCTTAGTTACTAAATATATTACTTACCCTCAAGTGAATTTTGTTCTTCTATTATAGACGGCGCTGGTGAAGTATTAATACCAGTATCTGGTTGTAAGGAAAAACCGAAAGGTTAGTATTGTTAGTACTGAATAATTATTCAGAAAAAAAGAAAGAAAGAAAAGGCCTAATATTTATTATTGTAATAAAAGAAACAGTTTTAATGCTACTATAAAGAAGAAGAAAACCTAACATTTACTGAAGAACTTGCAGAATTCCAAAACTTGTTGGGATAAGACACACGAAGGCAACAACAGTCAGTTCTTAAAATACAGTACATAAAACGTTTTGTTTGTTTATTGAATTTTGTATAAAGCTATTTGCACCGGTCATCCCCAATTTAGAAGTGTTAGACTAGAAAAAAGGTAGCTAGTCAACACCCACCATCAACTCTTGGGGTGCTCTTTGTCAAAGAACAGTGAGACTCTCCATTACATTATAATCCCCCTCCCAGCTAAAAGGACAAGCATATTGTGCGACTTGTTCAATCACGTGACCCATAGATTGCAAGTTAAGCACCCAAAATGCCAGGTCTCAAAGCATGTAACAAAGATGAACAAATATTATTCATTTATTTCAGTGATTTACTATATAAAATTTACTTAACTCAAACAATTCAATATTGTCATAACAAAAGCCTCTCCAAAAACTAATAGTATTTTAGGATGTTTGGAACAAGTCTTTGTATATGTTCAAAAATAAAACTTTCACATCAAAGTTAAGGCCCTTAGATAAAAAAGTGCCCTTCCTTACAAGTTTTTGCACAAATGGGTTACAAGAAAAGCAAAAGAATACACATTGCACACAACAGAACAATCAACACTTTTGTTGAGGACCACATTTTATTAGTATCATCAATACCATACACAAAATACAAGGACAGCATTTACTTTGTTGAAATAAAAATCAAACCCATGTTGAAACACCTCTCATCTGTTAATAAAGTTATCATTTAAATAAACTGTGTTGAAAGGCTGTTTTTTTTTTCTTAAGGAGCTCTTGAAGTGGTAAACAAAACCATCTAACTAATGTTGTCAAAGCTGCTCTCTCTTCTGACATCAAATGCTCCTTTAATAGTCATTTTTGTCCTTAAGTCATACAAAACAATAAAGTGAACAAAAACCACACACCAGTCTTGACTTCAACTAAATGATAATATAAATGATAGAAGCCAGATTCCTTTATTTTTTATTAATAAGTATACAACACTTCATCTTGAAGAAGGAGCCTGAGTATCAATCCATCACATGCACAATACTATGTAAAAATAATAACCTAACAGCCACTCCATCATATGAATTGTTAAACTAAGAACAAGCAGTACTTTACTGCTTATCAACCATTATTATATACAATAGGCAACATTCAACAGATCCATGTTAATTTCTTTATCTTTATTAAAATTAGTTTTAACCTTAAACACAAAACCAAAACCCAATTTCTTTAACTATGAAGTTGTTAGTGAAACTAAGTAATGTTGCTTTAATATCATCAACAAATGTGACAAAATTCTTCCATCAAAACAAACTTGAAATACAACTAAAAAAAAAGTGATAATTCAAATTTTCAATCTAGACTGGAATGGTTACTTAAAAACACAATTGTGACAGGATGGTTAGAAAAAATAAATCGTGATAAATAAAAAAATAAGAGTGAACTATGCTTTTAAAAAAAAAGAAAATTTGTATCTAAATAATTTTAAAATTTTTCATTTATCAAAACTTGAAACAACTTGAGAAGATTTTGGTCGGGTCAGAAAAAGGAGTATAAAACCTAGATATTTACAATGACACATAAAATAGTAATGATAGTTATTTCACACGTCATATCTTAATACAGTCACCAAATATCTTAATATCTTACAAAGCACAATTGCAAAACATCTTACACTGAGGTACGAAAAATAATTAATAAACAGATTAAATATCTACACTTTTTACTTGTGTGTGTAAATATTATATAAAATAATTCAATCTAAAAGGACTAATTCAGAATGTATAAAAAATGAGGACAGATTGGTAATTTTGCATCTACTTTACAGAAATGGAACTTTCTAGCCTTCCAAAACAAGATAATTCTACATCAATGTCATAAATAAATCATTTTCCTGTTCTGTCCCTTTTTTTCTCACAGTAAACCAGTTTATTATGTGATTTCTCTTCTTAAAACTGGCTATTAATGTAAGTTTCATATAAATTCTTTAAAAAAACTGGAATGTATTACTTGACTGTTTATAGTAAAAAAAAAAAAATTATGAAAAATCAATTAAAATTACACTCAAAATTGTTTAAAC